GGAGTATTTGTGCCTTGAAGATAACAAATAGAGTTCTTAGGAAGTAGGCAGTAGGAAATAGGTGTTCAGAGAGCAGTTTCACTGAGTCCCAGAGAGAAGGCCTCTCCCACCAGACACGTCCTGCGACGCCCCTCCCCCTGAGGCCTGCCCTCGGCCGCTGCAGGGCCCGGGCCAGGGCCACTCTGCAGCTCGCAGCCTTTTCCCGCTCCCGGGCCTGGCTTCTGGCTGCCACGGGAGCTTTGGCGAGTTAACCTCTCGGTCTCAATGTTCTCCTTTATAGAATGGGCACAGCAGCAAAAATAACAAGGAGACACTGTGGCCACAGGAGGGTGTGCCGATGGGGGGCTCCGTGGGGATGCCTGCTGCACTCCACAGGGGCCAGGGCTGAGCCGCAGGCCTGCCTCTGTGAGCCCACACGCACACCCTCTGCTCCTGCTCGCCTGTGCAGGGCAGTGGAGAGAAACGCACCGTTTCTGCCACAGTGTCCCACGGCTGACCCGTGGCTGCCCACCTCCGTGCCCCGTGGGGGCGGCCCTGGAGGCAGCAGCTTTGCCGGCCGCGGTGCCCCCGCCGGACAGCACCTTCTGGGAGTGTTTGACTTCTGCTGCTCGCCTGAGTGCAGTGACGGGTTCATTCGGCTGTAAACCATCCTACATCGTCTATGAGCTTTTCGAGCGGAGGGGGAGGCGCAGCGTTCCTCAGCTCACACCATGACAGAAGGACTGGGGAGAGGATTGCTAGTTTATGCCATCCTTTTATGTATTTACTTTTTAAATGTTTGTTTGTTTTTGTTTTGTTTTGTTTTTTTTATTTCAGAGAGGAAGGAAAGGGAGAGATAGAAACATCAATGATGAGAGAGAATCATTCATCAGCTGCCTCCTGCACGCCCACACTGCGGATCGAGCCCACAACCTGGGCATGTGCCCTGATTGGGAATAAAACCTTGACCTTCTGGTTCACAGGCCGACGCTCAATCACTGAGCCATGCTGGCTGGACATCCATTTATTTTTAAGGTGTAACGTTTTGAACATCATCCCAACCACATCTTAGATTCTTGAAATCATAGTAAAACTGACTAAGGAGAGGGCATCGGGGGACACGCTCACTAGGCAGCGCTCCCAGCAGCTGCTCAGAAGACGCCTTCCGGCTGCGGCCACACTGCCCGCCACCCTCCTCCCACAGAGCTCGGCCCTGCCGTTCGGCCAGTCCGCCTGTCCTTCCCCCCTCCCAGGACCTCAGAGAAGAAGGGTCATCCCTCTTGGGGGAAATTTATCAAGTTTTCGTAACACGTTCTCTTTCACAGGGTGCATTGAGCGCCGGCTGCTGCGCCTCTGGGCCGCGGGCAGGACGCTGCCTTCGTGTCTGGACGCTGTCTGTGTTGCCATAGCCAACGTGCCACTGGGCGTGATGCGCAAGCTGCAGGGAACTGAAGCCCCTCCATATGCCTAGTTATCTTACTGTTTTTCCCCGACTGTGAACTTAGCCAGCCTCTAAATTTTTTAAATTTAATACATTTCCTTTATCAAGGGAGATACCGCCCCCCCCCAAAAAAAAAACAACCAAACACCAAACATGTAAAAACCCAGGGTGCTAGAAATACAAACCAATTCATTCAAATTCAAGCTCCCCGGACACTGGTCACAAACCCTCGTGAGGTGCCTGTGAGCACCAAGTCAGGGAGAGGGCCAGGAGCGAGGCCACGGGAACGAGTGGGAAAGGCCCTCCGAGGCCCTAGTGGTCACCCTCACGCCTTCCCAGTGACAGTGCAGACCTACCCGGCCCAGGCACCCACGCTGCTCCATGCCCTGGGAATCGGCGGCGGACGCGGCGGCGATGCTGCTGGCTGTCCTGGCGAGAGTGGAGAGCAGGACCTGCGCATCTGTGCGAGCAGAAGGCTGTGCAGTGGGCTCAGCTCCATGGAGGGCTTTGGTGGGGGCCGGGGGGTCTAGGCGGGTCCAGCAGCAGCTTCCGCTCCTCTCGGTCCTGGTCCGAGTCCTGTAGCAGCACCCCATGCCAGGCTGCGTGTGCAGGGACCTACATTTTTTTCATTTAACATAGAAACCTAACTTTCCACTGGATCCCTATTATAACTCATGTTGTTAGTCACTCCATCCATTCCAGACGGTTAAATGCTTTTGGGTTCTGATTCCCATCCAATATCTAAGCCCCCCTGTGCTTTGCAACATTGGCAAGAGATGGGTTTGCCTCTGGGCCCCACCCAGTCACTAATAAAATACTGAGAGAGAAGGCCGAGGCCAAGGCCAGGAACTCACTTCTCTCAGAGCCAGGAGATTTCAGAGAGAAAAGTGGTCATTGTGGCCAGCAGGACAAAGTGGATGGCACGTGTGTAGCTGGCACTGCCTTTCCGTCAAAGGACTACTTTCTTAAAACATGAAAGTGCAGGAGTTTAACATAAAAACCAGGCTCTTACGCGAGTGGAGCCGTGCCAACACTGCAGACCCTTCAAACGAAGTGCTGCGCCTGGGCTCTTCGGGAGGGCCCGAGGTACAGGTGGCAGCGAGGGCTGGCCGCCGCGCACCCGCTCTGTGACGCCTCAAGCCCCTTGACCGACGTCTGGAGGAGAGAGGTCGGTGGGGAAGAGACAGTTCTGAGGGCGGAGCTATGGACGCCGCTGTGCCTGACCAACAGCACCCACACCCGCCGCGCCGGCGCCAGGGCTGCCGGACAACACGCAGCCTGTGCCTGACAGCACCGACAAATCACCATGATGGTCGGTCTTCTCATCCACTTACTCAGGAGGAGGCTTTCTTCTGGGCTTGTGCATTATAAAGAGTTCTGAACTAGAAATATTATTTATATTCATTGACAAATCATAAAAAACACAAGTCATTACATAGACTCAGACCGTGTATGCCGAAATGTGATAACTGATATGTTCTTTGAAATTTTGGAAACTAAATAAAAACAATCTCATTAGGTTACTACCCTAGATGACTACTCTAGAACTGTTAAGATTTACAATAACATTTTAAAAATGACTTCATCCCTAGTCTTTATTCACCCTTTTAAAAAACCTCTAATTAATAAAGTGGGTCAGTGACTCAACTATTCACACCCATGTGTCATACTTAAAGAGAGATGACTAAAGACAAGCTGATGCCAAAAATATTGGATTTTTCTAGTTAAAAAAATATGAAGAAAACTTAGCTTTAAAGAAAAACAGATAATGGGGAGCAAACTAGCAAAGTAGTCTCAAATGCAACAAAACTCATTGTTACTTTCCCCCTCTCTTTGATTTTCATTTATAGCCGGGGCCAAATTAGAAGAAAAACAAATTATTTGCTGAACTTACACTTCAGTTTTCCCTTACTCAGGGGGGAAGCACCCCTAAATAAGTAAAATGCAGAATACTTAATATCTAAATGGTTTTTCTTTACCCTCAAATCAAGTGCAATGGAGCAGAAATTCTGTGTTTGTCACCAATCCTTTATTGAAACTGGTAACTTCCACACTTTCTAATAGAACAAAAAAAATAATGTTCAGTATATACAGTCTTTTCATGGACTATCTGACTATACACAAGGCAGGGTGATAACACAATCTAATCTTCATAATAATTTGTGCAGAAAAAGAGACCTGACAGACAACGTGTGGACAGTACAGTGAAATGACATCACAGGTCCAGTGAACAGCCTGATACAGAACGCACGCATGGCGGCCAGGGACGCCTCCCGGGAGAGGCTGGTCAGTAGTAATTCACCCCGAGTCGGAAGCAGAGATCTGGTGTGTGGCTGTAAGTCTCTTCAGCGAGACCACCTCTGCAGATAGGTTTGCTAGGCCCTGCTTCAAAAACAAGCTCTCTGGGTCGCACACTTTGTAGCCATTGTCTTTCATTTCAGCAACTCCCGTCTTGAAACTGTTCTGAGTTTTGCCCATCAGTTCTTTCTGATGCCAGTGTTCCGACCGGAGAGACCAGTCTTGGATGTTAGTCACTTGCACTGAAAAAGGCGTGAGGGGGGCATGGCCCGCACTTGGGGCCCCGGGCTTCTCCAGCCCGAAATGCCTCGTGGCCGTCGCGCCAACGGGCGAGGGAAGTTTGTGAGTGGCCTCGAAGTCAGTGTCGAGCGCCTCGACTTTGATCTGCATGGCTTTGGCTTTAATGCGGAGCTTGTGTGGCAAAGCAGAGGAGTTCGCTTCCGGGACTTTAACCACCGTGGCATGTCCATGCTGCAGCTCGAGGGGCGAGTGGATCGGGCCTTTGGGAACCTGCTGCTCATCTTCTCCGTCCGAGGACTTTCCCACGGCACCATCATCAGTTTCCGACGTCCTCGGGGAGTTGCTGGAGGACCGGCTGGCCGGCAGGAGAGGCGGGGAGTGTGAGTAGGCAGGGAAAGAGCTGCCCACGTAGTTCTGATACACGGCCGCCCGGTAGGCGCCGGGGTCGTCCCGGGGCTCTCGGGCATAGCCCTCCAGTTCCACCGGCTCCTGCTTGATGGCCTGCAGCTTGCCGGCAGGACTCGGGCAGCCGCTCTGGCTCCGCACGGCGCCCTCCCGCGCCGGCTCCAGGGAGCCCTCGGCGCCCTCGGCCCGCGCGCCCTGCGGCGAGTGCCTGATGACCGAGATGCAGCTGCTGGCCGCCGGCTCGTCCGCGAAGCCCCCGCCGGGCGCGGCCGGGTAGTCTTGGAAGTACACGGCCGCGGAGTTCCTGAGCTTCTGGATCTCTTGGGCATATGCTGTGGAGCTGATTAAACCAAACTTCAATTTTAGGGAAAGCAGTTCAGCTTTCAAAGTGGCGTTTTCTTCTCCCAGTGCAATTAGTTTGTTCTCCAGCACGAGGTCATTCAGCCGGCGCTTCTCCCGGGACCTCTTGGCAGCCTCGTTGTTCTTGCGCCTTTTCTCCCAATACATGGCGTCTTTCTTTTCATCGGGGATGAACTCCCGCTTCCGCCGGCACGCGGAGGCCTTGCCTTTCCCCACACTCCCTTCACCCAGAAGCAGCTCCTCTCCTGTGGACAAGTCTTCGGAGACGTCAGTTAAGGCCGAACTGAGCACCACCACCTTGTCCGCGCTGCAGCCGGGGTCCAGCGAGGCCTGCTCCTTCTTGACGGCCTGCATCTTCCTCAGCTGCATGGGAGACGCGCCCTCGCAGTGCCGCCGTCCCCGGCGCTCTCAGATGCTGTCGCCCCGCGCTTCAACATCCATCCATGTCCCTCCTCCTGTCCGCCTGCCCTGCCCGGGACAGGCTCCCGCTCTCCCGCCGAGTGGAGTGGGGTCTAGGTGACCTGCAACACAGGAGAAGAAACAGTTATCCATTTGGTGACTATTTACCAGCGATTATGGACAGGAACTATGCCAAGCATTTAGGGCACAGGTCCGAACAAGACGCCGTTTTCCTTCAGAGTCTGCATTCTTAAAAAGGAAGTGCCCCAATTCCGAGACTGTAAGGTTGTCAAGGACAAATCCCCAAGGAGACCTGGGGTGGAGCACTCAGTGTGAGGTCCCCCGGAGTGAGAGAAAACCCCGAGGATGCGGGGATGCGAGGATGCGGGGATGCGGGGATGCGGGGATGCGGGGATGTGGGGATGTGGGGATGCAAGGATGCGGGGATGCGGGGATGTTGAAGATGGGGGGATGTGGAGCATGCGGGGATGTGGAGATGCAGGGGTGTCGAGAATGCTGAAAATCCAGGAATGCGGGGATCAGGGAATTGACATTCCGGTAGGTGAGATCGTGAGATCCTGAT